AAACTAGAATGACATTTGAAAAAAAAAATAGGAGAGAGTATTAAATATATGACCTAACTTCCAGATCGAGGCATGATTATTCATCATTAATTGTTTTTAATTTTTTTTTTTATTTTTGAAAACTTTCTTTATATTCCAAAGAAACAAGTGGCACTTTTAAAAAGCCAAATCAGAATTATTAAAAGCCGGCACTTAATTACTATATCTATCCATAAACTACTTTTCACCCAGATTAAGGTACACGTAATTTGCTAGACTATCATAATTTTTTCTAGCATATCCTTTTATTAAATAATAAATAATACTTACTAAAATGAAATTGTTTGATAAATATAAATTGTCGGCATTAAATTATTACTCCCTCATTTCGTATTAGTTGTACTTTCAAGAATGTTCCCTATAATTAAATTATTTTCCACATGTTTTAATTTTTATTATCCTTCCTTCATAGTATCAAAATTATATATAGTAATTATTATGTATTCAATTATTTCTCCTTGATTAATAAGGTTTATATATAGTTATTTAGTTACATTTCTGGATTTTTTGTATGCACAATTAATATTCTAAAAAATACATTTCGTTCAATTGAAGAGTGTTGAAAAACGAAACATGCCAAAATAAGTGGAATATTTTAGTGTGACACAAAATAATTTCATAAATGTTGCCTCTGTATTCACATGCATGAAAGTTAGGTAAATTACAAATCTTTTGACACGGTTTTGCTATGAAGCCAACAGTTGGCTCTATAGTGGAGCCAATATTCTATATACAATAAATAAACTTACCATATTAATAAAATTATATTAGTGTTATTTAAGTACTAAGAGAATATGATAGGTTTACTTGTTGGATATAGAAGGTTGGCTCCACTATGGAGCCAACTGTTTGATTTATAGCAAAATCGATCTTCGACAATCAACACACATGACACATGCATTAAATTGAACGAAAGGGATTTGGCCACGTAAGAAACCTATTAAACTAACCTCATCATGGATCTCACAAGTACCAATTCCTTGTTCTAATCAGACTAATAGTTAGGCAGATCGATCTATAATTATATATTTTTTTCTATATAAAAAAAATGTTTATGTATACCATCAAACATCATATGTTTATTTATATTGTTTTTTGAGTAAGATATTTCAATTTGAAAATATGTATATATGCTGAAAAAATATAATTTGTCGAACCATTATACCTATCTAACATCAGACAACATCCTTACTCACTACCTAACTAACAAAAGACACAACAACTACACACATGACATATACAAATCTCTATGCATATATATATGTGTATATATATCCTTTCTCCTATAAAATATCTAGCATCTCAATTAGATAACATTCAAAATCAACTCACATAGTCACATATTGTACCCAAAAAAAAAAAAATTCACATAGTCACATAGAGAGATTAAAAAAAATAAAAAATGTTTTTCTTCACCAAACCAAGATCATCAAGAACAGTACACCATTACCATGATGAAGATCAAAAGGAGTCCAACAAGTGCATTAATATTCAAGAAAACTGTGTTTCATTTACAGTTTGGAGAAAATCACTTGTTTTCAGCTGCAAAGGGTTCACTGTAATTGGCTCTGATGGCAGCTTGGTCTATAGAGTCGATAACTACACCGGCCGACCCGATAGAATCGTGCTCATGGACGGGCCGGGCCATCCTATCTTCACGATATCTCGTCGCAAGGTATATATATATATACATTAATATCTATATATATAATGAGTTTTTTTTTTTTCTTCATGTGATGATGTATTTATTATCTACATAAACATACTTTTTCGTATTTCTTACATTTCGGACGAATTAATTTGATAATATCCAGAAGCTCGGGATAGCGGAGAATTTCTGGCTAGTTTACGAAGGTGAAGTGGAGGAAAAGAGCAACAAAACATCAAAGGAGCCTATTTTTTGTGTGAGGAAAAACAATAGCATCATGAAAAGTAGCAAGCCGAGTTTGCTTGCATGTGTTTATCGTGGGTCGTGTGAGAAGCGATGTGTTTACACGATAGAAGGCTCGTATGAGAACCGATCGTGCAAGATTTTGGACGAGTCGAAAAGGGTTGTTTCGGAGATTAAGAAGAAGGAGGCCATTACTAATGGAGGAGGAGCATTTACTTTTGGTTTAGAAGTGTTTGATTTGATTGTTAGGATTGGGGTTGACTCCACATTTGCCATGGCTCTTGTGTTGTTATTGGATCAAATGTTCACTTGATTCTTTCATAGTATGTAAATAAGTTCTTTTTAGGAGGTTCCCCCCCTTTTTTTTTGGTGGGAGGGTTTGAATCTCATGTTATAAAATCATCTACTTTTTTAGGTGTGTTATTATCTTCTCTTTGTGGAAGTTTTGTTTGTCAGATCTGGTCATCTTTAGCTAGATCTGATCTTTTTTTTTTTTT